TAAACTTCAATATGATATCCAAATTAACTTCGTTGAGTACTATGGCTTACTAGCATCTATCCCAAATTCATGGAAAAATGTGATTAAAACATACAAGAAAAATATTGATGTACCAGAAAACAAATATGTACAAATACTAAAAGGGAAAGAAAAGATAACTAGAGATTTTTATGCAGTATTGGTCAATCAATATCTAGATCTCCCTATTTCATCTATGCAAAAATGGCAAAGGAAAATGGGATTAGATATAACAAATGACAGTTGGAAGATGTACTTCAAACTACCCTTCAATATAACAGATGACACAACACTACAAACTTTTCAATTTAAATTGCTACATGGAATACTCTATACAAACTCTAGACTAATGAAAATGAACATTACAGAAACAGAAATTTGTAATATTTGTACGGTAAATAGAGAAACGCTGACGCATTTATTTTGGGATTGTCCTCATACACGTGCGTTATGGTCATTTTTAAGACAACAATTTGTAACTAATTGTAATATTGATTTTCCATGGTCAAATATTTCCTTTATATTCGGAATAGATGACACTCCTGAAAATGAAAGTGTGAATATGTGTATCATCATCATAAAGAAATATATTTACTCATGCAGAAACAAACATACAATGCCAACTATTGGCGGGGTCCGTTCTGCAATATCATACTATAAGCTAATTGAAAATCAATGTATCCTGTCATATCCCCGTGCAAAAGCCGACCAAGTAGTAGCGAAGTGGTCCATTATCAGCACAGCATTGAACATTGATTAATTGAATTTAAATTCATATTTTGCTCATTCTTAATATTGATGTTAATCATATCTAGAATTATTTACTACCTAAAAATAAGAACGCAAGCAGTTGTTATTGTACAGGAAAAAGAAACAAAATGAAAAAGAAGATATAGAATTCATTAGTATGCGAGACAATATGAAATACAATGTAATAATTGTCATGTACTCCACTGTATACTAACATGTGAACAATCAAAAATAAAATATGATAAAAAAAAAAATACAATGACATTCAGTATAAAGTCACAGTGAGGACACCTACAATGACATTAATTAAGTATAATGTATCGATACATCTGTGATGACATCAACCTGGTATCATACTGGTAGACAGACAAGCTACAAAACGTAGCTTATACTAATATTTGTAATTCTAATGCATACCTTACAAGGTCGGAAAGGTCAGCCAGATTCAAGTTCTCTTCCTGGACACGGTCTTCATATTTGCTCAAAATGCTGCTGGGGAGAGCTTTACTTAACTGGGCTGTAACAGTAAATGTTTACTGGGTTGTAACAGTAAATGTTAACTGGGCTGTAACAGAAAATGTTAACTGGGCTGTAACAGTAAATGTTTACTGGGCTGTAACAGTAAATGTTAACTGGGCTGTAACAGTAAATGTTTACTGGGCTGTAACAGTAAATGTTAACTGGGCTGTAACAGTAAATGTTAACTGGGCTGTAACAGTAAATGTTTATATCTCTGAAATAGGTACATTCAACAATTTCTTTTCAGGAATGATAATTTAAGATTTATCAACACATAAATCAGTTCATTTTCTTAAGGTTGTTAAATATTGATTTTATACAGGTTCATATAGCAAACACCAATTGCAATGACTTGCACTCTTTGCTTGACAAAGGAAACAGATGTTTTCAAAAAGAAAAAATTCAAATTCTGTTTCTGTAAAACATCAAATTTTGCTTATAAATTGTGTATCATATGAAATGTCCTGATAGAGTCTTTATCTTAATCAGAAGAATGGGATGTCGGATATTGAAGTGATCTTAAGTATTGATGGGGTAGAATGTACTACCATGGGTTGAAGTATCTATACTTACTGACAGGATAGGAGGCATCACAACCCTCTGTCATACACATTAGGTCTGCCTACAACAGTCAGTCATAGAATCAGTTGATAGCTCATAGTACTAACACATGTCCTTTCAATCTATTACCTTTATATCATTCAGCCTTACCATGGTGGGTCATTCTACGCCTTGTTTTTACTTCAGAAATTCGATTTCTATTAAGTCCCGATTAAGTTCTAGTTCTTTATTAGCCAAAAGCCCTTAGGCTTATAGGTACATGTACAAACATATATGCATATAACATTCTCTAAACATAATTAGACTCCTTTCAGTTCCATCATGTTAGTTTAAGAACTGGAAACAATAACAGCCAAGTGAGCTAATCTCAAACTAAATCAAAAGTGCAATACTTCCAAACAAGTGTTCATGTCTTACCTTTCCAGCACCAAAAACCGCCTCCTTGGCATACCTCTGGAGACAGTCATCACAAAACAGGTGTCCTTCATAACACTGTATCATGTTTTCAAATGGCACTTCACCGTAACAGCAGCCACATTCTATTAGCTGTCCGCTCTCCTCATACTCCGTCTCATTGAGCATCAGTGCCATCTGGTGGTCTGCCTCCTATAACACACAATCATGAACTACTGATATCTTAGGACCACTCTGATCAAAAAGTACCTCTTTGTAGGACTTTTACAGTAAAACCTGTCTTAAAAGACAACTTCTGTGCAAGACTATGACAGTTAAATCCTGTCTTTAGAAACCACCTATTCTAATATTATTTTCAGAGTACAAGTCCAACAGAAAATGACAACATGTCATGCACATTATTGGATGCTAATGTGTGGCTGGATATCAGAGGCGACAGGAGGTTAAGACATGATGCTAAGTGTGATCAGATGCTAAGTATGACTGATGTTAAGCCCAAATTTCCACTGGACTTTAGACAGATAGATTTCTGGTGTAGGACCAGAACGCACTACTGTATTGAGGCATGGAATACTCTCACACCGTTTGATATCGGAGAGTTTTAGGTGCCGACAACAAAAATCTACTATGACACAACACATACCTCACATATAGTGATAAATGGGTTATTGATTGATCCAAAACCTTACTTATTATCACCAACAGCTGCTACATTCCGTCAGTAGAGTCCTCGGTTTTCAATCGTTCAAAATTTTCCACATGAACAAAGTCTTTTTGCAGGTTATTCAAATTACACAAGTGTGACTACTGAACGAACTGTACTGATGTGAACCGAAAACACCATCTCAATTTTATTTAGAAGATTTCCGGACTGCCTCTTTTTGTTGATGACTAGATGTTAAGTTTGATGGGTTCAGTATGACTAGATGTTAAGTTTGATGGGTTCAGTACGACTAGATTTTAAGTTTGACTGGTTCAGTATTACTAGATGTTAAGTTTGATGGGTTCAGTATTACTAGATGTTAAGTTTGGTGGGTTCAGTATGACTAGATGTTAATTTTGAAGGGTTCAGTATGACTAGATGTTAAGTTTGATGGGTTCAGTATTACTAGATGTTAAGTTTGGGGGGTTCAGTATGACTAGATGGTAATTTTGATGGGTTCAGTATGACTAGAGGTTAAGTTTGATGGGTTCGGTATGACTAGATGTTAAGTTTCATGGGTTCAGTATGACTAGATGGTAATTTTGATGGGTTCAGTATGACTAGATATTAAGTTTGATGGGTTCAGTATGACTAGATGTTAGGTTTAATGGGTTCAGTATGACTAGAGGTTAAGTTTGATGGGTTCAGTATGACTAGATGTTAAGTCAAAGCGTGACTTCATATTAATAATAATAAGTGTGCCTGACATAATGTTAGTTAATAATAATAAGTGTGCCTGACATAATGTTAATTATAATAAGTGTGCCTGACATAATGTTAATTATAATAATAAGTGTGCCTGACATAATGTTCAGCATGACAGGAAGTGTATACGTAATGCTCTGTTTAAAAGTTTAAATCTCACCTCAAATTCATCCTGTTGTTTTCGTTTAATAAAGTTGACTTCTCTCTGAAGGAAAGGATCCAGACCAACTAATGGTGGAGGTGAAGTTTTACGCCAGTTCTTCAACAGTGTTACTGATAATGGCCGCTCCTTACTGTCTGAATACAAATGTAATACAGTGGTCTGAAAATGTCATTAAATGCAATTGTAGCAAAAAAGTCACATAAAGTCGATGCATCTGAACTGACACACAACATACAGCTTGTATAAACATATCAACTTGGTTTTATCATTGTAAATTGGGCAGCACTTAAATCAAGATTAACCAATGTTAAACAACTCCTCAAACATATCAGATTTTAAAGAAAGATACGTTTGAAAAAAAAGTTAGAGATGGTTCAATCTGATTAAAATCATATGTTACATGGCTTCGTTAACTTCGTACTACACCTGAATATCAGAGTGTGCCGCGGTCAGGGTCATGTTCAGGAGACCTTTATATTTATAAATACTCATTAAATTTTGACCAATCAGAGACCCTCTTTCAAAAGGGTGCTCGGAGTTGTAACAAATATGGCGGACATTGATGAGAATGATGCAAAAGTTCTGAAGTTATTTGAGATTGAATAATCTGAAACCCGAACAGAAAAAGATATTCAAAGCTTTATTAGAGAAGGAGGACTGTATAGCAGTGTTGCCTACGCAATTATTACCCATTTGGTATGTTTTCCTTGGCGACGTAGAAACGTCAGTTCCCGCCGCCATATTTGTTTTGAAAAACTAATTTGTTCGATACCCCTAGCTATTATCTATCAACCATGATATTCCGATTCGCTGGCAAACTTTTGGCAGCGCGCTTCTGATTGGTTCATCTAAAGGTAACTTGAACGTGACCCTGACCGTGGCACATTCAGATGTTCAAAAGACAAAGGAAAGAAAACAACTTCTATACCAGTGAAAAATAAAACAATGGAAAGAAAACAACCTCTATATAAGTGAAAGATAAGACAAAGGAAAGAAAACAACCTCTATATCAGTGAAAAATAAGACAAAGGAAAGAAAACAACTTCTCTATCAGTGAAAAATAAGACAAGAGAAAGAAAACAACGTCTATAACAGTGAAAATATGACAAAGGAAAGAAAACAACGTCTATAACAGTGAAAAATAAAACAAAGGAAAGAAAACAATGTCTATATTAGTGAAAAATAAGACAAAGGAAAGAAAACAACCTCTATATCAGT